TATACCCGATGAAGCATAAACATCAGGTCCTGGATATTTTTGTGGAGTAGAAAAAGAAAGTGGATCTGCAGATAGGTAGAAAGGTGAAGACTCTACGTTCAGATAACGGTGGAGAGTATAAGAGTAATTCGTTTCTACAGTTTTGTCGGGATCACGGCATTAGGCGACACTTCACAATTAGAGAGACACCGCAACAGAACGGGATGGCAGAGAGATTGAACCGTACCTTGCTGGAGAAGGTGCGATGTATGATGACGCAGAGTGGATTGCCTAGATCTTTTTGGGCCGAAGCATTAGTTTATGCGAGCCATCTCATGAATAGGTTGCCGTGCACTGCGATACAGGGGAAGACTCCGTTGGAACGTTGGTCTGGTTTGGTAGCTAGTGACTATGAGCCGCTTCGGATATTTGGATGTCCAGCTTATTACCATGTTAATGATGGTAAATTGAATCCGAGGATGAGAAAAGCAGTCTTTGTGGGATTTAGAGATGGAGTTAAAGGCTTCAAGTTATGGGATCTATAGGACAAGAAGATAGTTATTAGTAGGGATGTCACATTTGACGAGGCGTACATGATGAAGCCTCAAGTTCCTCAGCAGGTGGAGAAAGATCAGATTTAGGAGATATCACAGCAGGTGGAGGATGATGTGACTCCACTCACTCCAGAGAGCATTGTATCCATCGAGGCTCCTACAGAGGTGACACTGGGAGGAGATGGGATGACAGCCGGGCATTTAGAGGATACAGTGGATGTTAGGACTCAGGAACAGAGTTATGTTCAGGAGTCCATTGCAGCTAATAAACCAAGAAGAAGCATTCGTCGGCCAGCTAGATATGACGATGTCATGGCTGCATATGCTTTATCGGCAGAAGTCGTTGATGACTTGGTTCCCTTTACATTCAAGGAAGCAGAGTCAAGCTCTGATTCGAATAGGTGGAGGGAAGCCATGGAGGAAGAGATGCAGTCTCTTCATAAGAACGATACTTGGGAACTTGCAAAGCTACCGAAGGGTAAGAAGGCTATTGGATGCAAGTGGGTGTATGCAAAGAAAGAGGGATCTTCTATTGGGGAAATTAGATTCAAAGTCAGATTGGTTGCCAAGGGATATACACAACTAGAGGGTATTGATTACAACGAGGTATTTTCACATGTTATGAAGCATTCGTCGATTCGTATTTTATTGGCATTGGTGGCACAGCCGGATTTGGATTTGGTCCAGATGGATGTGAAAACAACCTTTCTACATGGAGATTTAGAAGAGGAGATCTACATGACACAACCTATGGGGTTCAAAGCTGCAGAAAAGGAAAAATTAGTATGCAAGCTGAAGAAGTCTCTTTACGGATTGAAGCAATCGCCGCGAAAATGGTACAAAAGATTTGACGGTTTTATGATTGGCCAAGGGTACACGAGGAGCCCATATGACCCATGTGTTTACATGCACAAGTTACAGAATAGTGAGTATATCTATTTGATGTTATATGTTGACGATATGCTCATAGCTTTCAGGAATACTTCAGCTATTAGAAAGTTAAAAAAAGAGCTGTCATCTGAATTTGAGATGAAGGATCTTGGAGAAGAAAAGAAGATATTGTGTATGGAGATCGAGAGAGACATGGTGAAGGGGAGGTTGAAGTTGACACAGAGGAGTTACTTGCAGAAGATGCTGAAAAAATTCAGTTATGATGGCAATGCCAAGGCGGTGAGTACTCCATTAGCTCCCCACTTTAAGCTATCAGTTAAGATGTCACCTGTTTCAGTTGAGGACCGTGAATACATGTCCAAAGTTCCATATGCCAATGCTGTGGGTAGCTTGATGTATGTGATGGTGTGTACAAGGCTAGATTTATCACAGGCCGTGAGCATGGTATTTAGGTACATGCACGACCCTGGGAAGGGTCATTGGGAGGCCGTGAAGTGGATTCTACGATATATTAAAGGTACCGTGAATGTTGGTTTGGTATTTCAGTAGAATGAGAAGACATGGTATGATTGTATTGGTTACGTGGATTCTGATTATGCGGGGGATCTGGACAAGCGTCGGTCTACTAGCGGATATGTGTTTACACTAGCAGGAGCATCGGTGTATTGGAGATGCACACTTCAGTCTATAGTGGCTCTCTCCACTACGGAGGCAGAGTATATGACATTGACTGAAGCTGTGAAGGAGGCTTTGTGGTTGCGTGGATTGTTGGAGGACTTGGGGATTGTACAGGAAACCATTCAGGTACATTGTGATAGCATGTTGGCTATCTATTTGGCGAAGAACCAGGTTTATCATGCACGCATGAAGCATATCGATGTCAGATTCTACTTTGTTCGTGACGTTTTGGATGATGGAGACGTCAGGTTGGAGAAGATCCACACGAAGGACAACCCTGCGGATATGTTGACCAAAGGGAGAAGATCCACACGAAGGACAACCCTGCGGATATGTTGACCAAAGTTGTTTCAGGAGTGAAGTTTGGTCATTGTTTGGAGCTTGCGGATATGTTGACCAAAGTTGTTTCAGGAGTGAAGTTTGGTCATTGTTTGGAGCTTTTGAACATTCTTTGGTGTTGAGGTCTTTGGAGGCTATTTGGGTGAACTACGTTCGGCTTGATTACTTGGGCAAGAGGATACGTAGGCAGTCTTTCAGATGCAGTCGGTTTTGGATTAGTTAATTTTGATGGGGGTGAGATTGTTTGGACTCTCGTTCGGGTTCTCGACTTGTTGTGATTTGAGTCCGTTGTCGTGAATTAACTTCATGGCGTACTGAACACAACAAGTGGGACATTTGGATGCTTTGGTGTCGGCTCAGTTTTGAGAAAACTTCACCGATGTGAAGAATTGTGAACGAACGTGGGTTGTGGGGGCCACCCATGTTCTCGTATCAATTCCCCAACGCATTCTTTTGCAGCGGATTTTTTTTTAGGCCCACTTACTAGGCTATAAATAGGATTTTTAGCCTAGGGTTTGTGCGTGGGGTGTGTGGAAGTGCAGAGGAGCAGCTGCGGCTGATTTTGAGCGCAAGAAAAAAAAAGGCTGCGACTGATTTGTGTGAAAAAGAACAGAGACTTTGGCGGCTGTGCTTGGCTATTCACAGAGAAGAAGCAAAGTCTTTTTATAGTTGTTCTTTGATTTGTACATCCCTTTGAGAGAGTATTTGTGTGAGGGATCTGAGAGTTTGTGAGAGGGTTTAGGTTGTGTAATTGTAAACCCTAGTTGTATTCTCTCCCTCTAATAGTAGATCCCCCCCTTCTTGCCCCGTGGACGTAGGCTATTTTCCGAACCACGTAAAATTTGTGTTCTTGTCGTGATTTGTAATAGCTTGTAGGTTCCCTCGATATTTCAGTCTTAGAACTGATGAGAGGAAGAGCTGATATCTCACTTTGATGAGATATCTGGTTTTTGGTTCTTGTTTCCTTTGAGAAACGAGAATTTCGTTGTGATCTAATCTCTTGTTGTACACCTTGCGTACCGGAGGTGCTGCCAAAATTTCCGCTGCGCACAACAAACTTTAACATTGTTGGTGGTGATGGTGCGAGGAGGACATGGATGAGATCCATCTATGTAATTGTAGAGGTCATAGACGATGAGAATGGCCTCAATCTGGAGTTTCCAAGCAATATAATTTGTCGAGGTCAATTTATGGATGGATTGATGGGAAGTGTTGATGAGTTGAATGTTTTGGGTTGGATTTTCTGGGTTTGGGATGATAGAGATCTGAGAATCAGTCGTCATAGTGAAGACTGCGGCTAGGGTTTGCAAAGGAGTGGTGGGAGGAGGTCTAGAACGGCTCTAATACCATGTGAAAGTTCATGAGGAATTCCTATAATTAACTCATAATTATATCAGTCATAGGACTTCTCTTCTTTTGTGGACCGAAATTGTCTATCTTATGCATGTCAAAGAACAGGAGTTGTTATGTCACTGTCTTAAAGTTTCTTCTTCTATGTTAATTAATAAAGGTCACCATGATGATCCAAATTTATAAACGCCCGCTTCCTTAAAAAAAAAGAGTGAAATTAAGAAAGTCTATTAAATCATCAATCTCCTCCAACTTGATCGAATAGTGGCGAATAGCTAATTTATGGCCAGGGATAGACTATTAGCTTATCACAACTCCAACAAATTGTAGATCTCTATGAAGTGATTACTGGTAAAAGTAGTTGAAACGTGGGAACTGAAAACTTATTGACGCTTGCTTGGTGGATTGCAACAACAATTGTACAAAACACAAATCCTTATTAAATTAAGATGGCATTGCGTAGCAACTTGCTTTGTTTGCCCATGTGGATGTAAATGTCGAGTGTGCCATTCAAGCGAGGTCATGTAATAATTTTGATTGTTGAGGACAGTTGGGTGTCGGATGTTGGACTAATTTATCTATTTATTTATGTCTTGTAATTTAAGGGCAAGGATTCTCTACATCATTGATTACAAAAAACTTCCGCAATTGATAAGATGAATTGATTTTATTAGCATGAGTCCCGTAATTAAAAGAATTTTTTATAATTTATATAATGAATATCATTCATGGATCCATTAAGTGAGGATATGTGATTGGTGAGTTATAAAAGCTCTTTGCAATCAAGGATGTAGAGAATCTCTACCCTTAATTTAATCCCTTACTTCTATCCATGAGAACTACTTGTTTTGATTGATCTATGGTCGGCTAGATATAAAACTTTATTTATCCTTTGCAAGAATGTAATAAAATGCATTAGTACCCATTTTCGACCTAGGAAGTATTAAAACTCCTAGCTCGACTAAAATACTAGGCCCAAAACTAATTAGCTAGACTCTAAAATCCAAACAAATCTAATTCCAACAAGAAATTAAAGAAATTGGGGGAAAAAAACATCATGTTAGTTCGGATTGGTAAGAAAAAAAAATGAAGGCAGCTGAGAAAATCTCGGACTCCAAAAACATGTTAGCTCGCCAAACTTTCTAATTCTGCCACAAAATTTAGCCGCCTTTCTCAGTGAACCATGAACTCCTCCACTTACTACGCACTACAATCAAAGATGTTCAAAAGCAAAATCAGTTTCTTCTCTTGTCTTCTTGCTCTCTCAACACTCTCGCTAATAATCATCTTAGGCCCTTCAAACCCTTTTACGGTCATTAAACCTACGCAAGAAAATTCTGCGAATGAGAAATACTATTGTGATTTGTCTGAAGGCAAATGGGTGGGAGAACCAAAAGGATCACTCTATACAAACTCGACATGTAGAATGTTGCCCGAAATGAAGAACTGTGTCAAGTATGGGAAGGATAAAGGGTATTTGTATTGGAAGTGGAAGCCTGAGAGGTGTGAGCTGCCGAGGTTCGATGCGATGGAGTTCTTGAGGGTTGTTAGAGGGAAGAAGATGGCGTTTGTTGGGGATTCTCTTGCTCGGAATCAGATGGAATCACTGTTGTGTCTCCTCTCGCAGGTGAGACCTTTGTGTTACATAGCTTTTGTTTATGTGGCAAAAGCCAAAAGGAGGTAGTATTGTAAGGGTTCATATAGGCGCGGGAGTGCATGCATGCGCACACACGTACATACCGTTGGATATTTTGTTGAAGAAAAGACAATTTTACCTTTATGGATAGTCCCACATTGAATAATGTTCTGAATACAATTAAAACGTGCGTAACGACAATACGTTATGGGGAACGTTACAAAAATTTATGACGAACGTTGCCGTATTAATTGTAGGAATTGTAATGGCTTTCTCAACCCTATATATACACACACCCCTTATTCACATTCGGAATATATATAAAAACAATTCTCCCTTTTTCCTCATCTCCTATGCATATTATTTTCGTTCATAAGTTGGTGTTATTTTTGGGCAACCGTTCTTCGAATGAGTTGAAGCTCTGTTCTCTCGCCCGAGTATAGAGGCTGGCCGCTTCCAGTGGGTTTTTACCACTATGAGAGAGAATCATCTACGCTAGGACGATAGGCGGGTCCTTAGTCTCTAGGGCAGTGTTTACACGACTGCTCCCGATCAGGCCAGACTTTCTTATTATTTTATTTCGGAATTATTTTACATGCTATAACCTTTGATTTGATAAATTTTCAACAATCTAGAAGATTGAGTAGTTTATAGCTATTGTTTTAAATCCAAAATTATTATTTAAAAAAGTTCTACTGTTCATTTTATATTAAAATCGTCACTGTTCATTTTAAAAAACAGTTTCGGGTACTGTTCATTAAAAAAATGTTTACTGTTTATGTAGAGCACTGTTCATCAGAGAATTATTTTCCTTGTTCATAAAATACAATTACTATTCATTCTAGGAAAATACGGTTTCTGTAACTGTTCTCTTGCTTTATTTTAATTGCTCTAATTAATTATAATTAATTAATGTTGCTGTAGCAATTAATTATTCACGATAGTTACTGTAGCAAATTACCATGTCATTTATAAATAGTAAAAATGTAGTACTGTTCACAGTTACTGATACCGTTTTACAGCTATTGTTTACGTATTTATTGTTAACAATTACTATTCACTTATACTGTTAAGAAACTAAAAATCTTTAAGTGAACTGGTTTAAGTTTTCTTAGATTAGTTGGTGTCTAAGGTAATGTTTAGGGGTTGCGTAACGTGCTCCGTAAGGAACGATGTACTTAATTGATCTTTGATCTCCCTCTAGTATTATCCTTACCTGACTAAACTACCTGGGTAAAACTTTGATCTTTTTACTTTAGGAGTTTTTGGTTAGGAGCTGATCTAGTTAAGTTTCTGGTCTAGTGGTATTGACAAAAACCTTTTCATTTATATCTTTTGTTTTACAATCATATACAATATTATTAATTTATTACAAATCATTCGATATGGGTTATTTTCCATATAAATAGGGCTTATACGTCATATGCTTATGCGATTGTATTTATTTGATAATTGTTATAATTCCATATGAAACATTTTATATTCAAGCATGAATAAGAGGACCGGAATTATGAGAATAACTCATATGCATAAATTTAAATTTGGAAAGTCTCTTTTGTAGGCAACCAATTTAAATTTGAAAGGTCTCTTTTGTAGGCAACCAATTTAAATTTGAAATGTCTCTTTTGTAGGCAACAAATTTACAACCTCTTATAATATGAGAATTTAAAATTTATGCATATGAAGTATGAAATATACTTTAAGATATGAAATTATATTATAAGGTTCTCTTGAATGTTTTGCACGTAACTATTAGTAATTTTATTCATGTATGTTCATATGCATGCACGTAAAGATATAGCTGCAGTATTTTAGTTCTACATTAGTTTAAAATTTTTAGATATTAAGAACAAATTCTAACCCTATGCAGTTACATCTTCACACATAGACTACAATTATTTATGATCATAGACTATGATCTTTCATACTAACATATTTTGATGTCCTATCATTTTAATAATGACTAGAAAGATTAATTTTTATAGCTCTTTATTTGACTACATGTATAATATTTTCTCTTGAGATTTTAGTGACTAGAAAGATTAATTTTTATAGCTCTTTATTTGACTACATGTATAATATTTTCTCTTGAGATTTTAGGAAATGATTAGAGTTACTACATGTATAATATTTTCTCTTGAGATTTTAGGAAATGATTAGAGTTGATATAAATATGCTCTGTCAAGTAGTATGCCTAGTTACATGAGACGTGATGAATCAATGCCCTGAAAAATCAAATCAAGAGGTATGTCTTATAACTTCTATCTATATGATGAATAAAAGTTATATTAAAATTAGTCCATCAAATAATTAAATTGCTATTAGGTTTCCTTATTCTTATAAGGAAAGATTGTCTTGAAAAATAACTTAAACAAGAAGGGGACCTAATATCAGACAATATGAATGACTAATTATAAAATAACTTGATAAATATATACAACGCCTGTTAGGCAAAGTTGTAAAGTCTAAAAAGAATCTTGCTGACCCATTAACAAAGGGTCCATCCAGGAGTGTGATTCTGGATTCATCAAGGGAGATGGGGTTAAGCCCATAGATGAGGTCACTGACAGCGACAACCCAACCCTCATTTGGAGACGTAGTTCTAATGTTGGTTCAATATGGTAGAAACAAGCTGGACTAGTGAATCTCGTGTGGAACATCGACCTAGATATATTTATATATCATTATAGTAACATGTGCTACTTCCTCTTCTCTATGATGACGATGCTCTTATGATACAGCTGGTTAGGCTGAGTTTTACTCTTAATAAGTCCAACGCGTGTATTGCGGAGGGTATGATATTCAACTGTAGTACCCTTGGAGGACTTAATTACCTACGTGAGAGAAAACATGATGACCGCGATTGGGGGGGGGATTGGGCTAACCCCTAGAAACTCTCATGAGTCGGTTATTGTGGGCATGGCCTTTAACGCTCAACCCGCTTTGCTCAATAGATGAAGACGTATTGTGTGTGTTTTTGTCAATACATGGTTAAATAGGCCTAATTCAAGGCCTAGTCTATTATGTCCCTCAGGTGGCGATGAACTCACTAAGGAAAGGTTCAAAGTCGAAAGCTACCTCTCCCGAATTCACGATACGAAAGGTTACCCAACCTATATTTGTTTTGTGATTTGTTGTTTTATTTATTAATTTTAAGTTTTCAATCAATATTACCTTTTGGGGGGGACTGTTGGATATTTTGTTGGAGAAAAGACAATTTTGCCTTCATGGATAGTCCCACATAGAATAATGTTATGAATACAATTAAAACGTGCGTAACAACTATATACTATGGGGAACGTTACGAAAATTTATGATGAACGTTGCCGTATTAATTGTAGGAATTGTAATGGCTTTCTCAACCCTATATATATACACCCCTTATTCATATTCGGAATATATATAGAAACAATTTTCTCTTTTTCCTCTTCTCTCCTCTGCATATTATTTTCGTTCATATGTTAGTGTTATTTTTGGGCAACCGTTCTTTGTCTGAGCTGAAGCTCTGTTCTCTCGCCTGAGTACAGAGGTTGGCCGCTTCCGGGGGGGTTTTACCGTTAGGGGAGAAATGATCATTTACGCCAGGGCGATAGGCGGGTCCTCAATATTCTAGGACAATGTTTACACGACTGCTCCCTATCAGACCAGACTTTCTTGTTATTTTATTTCAGATTTATTTTACAAGCTATAACCTTTGATTTGATAAATTTTCAACACATACTTACATAAATATAATACACGTGTGCACACACATACCTACACAAACATATATATATGTTTGGAATTATTGGTTACAAAGTGACAAGTCATTTTGTATAATAATTAAACTATTGTTTCACGCCCAATATTAATGTATATATTTTCGTGTGTGTGCTATATAGATTCGGATCCTCTCTAGTACTACCAAAGAAGTAGTGGAGCACATAACCATTACTTTTATTAAAGTTGTTGATTTGTTTAGTGGTTGGATGTGATTTATGTGTAGGGGTAAATTAGAAATAAGTGCAATGTATGGAAAAAATGGTTGTGCTTCATTTGGAATGAATTGCGACTACTCACTAGCAAAAATCAACGATTATGATAAAAGTAATGATCTCTTCTAATAGTAAAGAGGATCCAAATCTATAATATATGCGGCAGGATTTAATCTTACCAAGATATAAGTTAGCTAGTTCTACGAAACTGCATGATATGTATCATGTGAAACTAAAACACACGCTTGATTACGCTCCCGCCATCTCTTTCGCTCTCTCTCTCTCTCATCTCTCTCTATATATATATAAATATATATAATTATAATATATATATATATATATACTATATATATAGTATAATATAGAGAGAAGAGAGAGGGACGAGAGATGCAGAGAGGGAGACGGGAGAGAGAAAACAGGAGGTGACTGCAGCGTAGGAAATATCCTACGCCCTGCAGTGTATGAGAAATGTGAGCCCCCCCTACTAGTCAATCGGTGTGGAAAGCTCACATGCATAACACTTGGAGCGTAGGAAATTATCCAACGTGCAGCTCCCCTCCTCGTTTGCTCATATTGATATATATATAAATATATATATATTAATATAATATATAAAATAATATATATAATATATATATATATATAATATATATATATATACGTATATAGCAGAGAGAGAGGAAGAGAGAGAGAAAACGGAGGTAGCTGGTCACCGTAGAAAATTTCCTAACGCTTGCAAGTGTATGACATGTGAGCCCCCCTACTATCACTATCGCGTGTGCGGGCTCACATGTCATACACTTAGCAGCGTAAGGAAATTTCCTTACGCTGGCCTGCCTCACTCTCGCGTTTTCTCATATATTAGTATACTATATATATATATATTATACTATATAGTATAATATATATATATATATTAATATATATACTATTATATATATATATATAATATGTATATTATATGTATATTATGTATTATAAGTTCAAGAAACTATCATGAACTAGGCTAGTATTTTTGTAGGAAACTATGGCCTAACCATTTATCATTGAGAAAAATAAAAACAGTTATTAACATGCATGATGTTTAACAACACCTATACGTATTAAGGTCCCTGTCAATGGACTCAGTAAGTAATATTTTCTTCTTCGAATCCTCTTTAAAATTTCTTTAAAATTCATGATCGGTGGGAGTTAGACCTGAGTTGCTCTAGAATAATATCAAAGATTACGAGCACTGCATCAAAATTCTAAAGTTAAAAGAGGATTATTATAAATTTATACTCTAATACTATTTAGTTATAACATACTGACGGCATCTCATCATTAATCTAATCTCAGGCAGAGTCTCCAACAGACACTTACAAGGACCCAACCGACAAGTCCCAAACATGGCACTTCCCCTCTCACAACTTCACCCTCATGGCCATCTGGTCACAATTCCTAGTCCACGCCACAGAGACAACCACCACCATCAACATTAATGCAACACTTTCAAACACATTCAACCTCCATCTGGACAAAGTCAACCCCAAATGGTCAACTGATCTACTCCCTCACCTCCACTTCATCCTAATCTCAGCCGGCAACTGGTTCTTCCGTCAAAACTACCTTTACCTCAACGAAACACTAATCGGGTGCATCTGGTGCAATGACAAAAACCTGACAGGTTTCGACGCACAATTCGCTATACGAAAAGTTTTCAGAACTACACTGCAGTTCATAGCAAGTTGTGAGGAGTGTGACGATGGGCTCGTTACTTTGTTGAGGACCTTTTCGCCCTCTCATTTTGAGCATGGGTCATGGTTCACTGGTGGGTATTGTAACAGGACTCAGCCTTTGGATGAGGGGGAGTTGAGATTTGAGAGGAGCAAAGAAATGGAGATTAGAGGGATTCAGTTGGAGGAGTTGGAGAGAGTTAGAGGGAAGAAGAGGAGGTTTGAGGTTTTGGACGTGACAAAGGCAGTGATGCTTAGGGCTGATGGGCATCCGGGGGAGCACGTGAATAGGAAATGGACCAACAGTTCTATTAAGGATTGTTTGCATTGGTGCTTACCGGGGCCTGTTGATATGTGGAATGATGTTTTATTGCAAACTATTAAGACTTGATTCTTTATTTGGTATGCATTAGTAGGATTTGGATCCTCTCCACTACAAAAAAGTAGTGGAGAGACCATTGCTTTTAATCTTAATCGTTGATTATTTAGTAGGCGGTTATGATACAATCTAAATCTAATACTTACCATACCCCCGTGTATTGCACTCATTCCTAATTTGCACTAAAAGAGAAAATCACAACCATTAACTAGATAATCAATGGCCGTGATTATGTAGTGGTCCCTCCACTGTTTTTTTTGTAGTGGAGAGGATCCGAATCCGCATTAGTAGCCTTTGTTATTCAGAGATGGGTTTTTTTTTTAGACTTTTTTTTGAAGGGAGGATAAAAGGGGGGAAAAAGAAAAGAAAAAACTGGGTAGCTGGATGAAAAGCTGGCAAGGTAATGCTATGTTAATTTTGCAAGAATAAGAAAAGACCATTAGTTGTATTTTTGAAATATTATTTCTTTTAAAGATCTCTTATAAAAATATTTTCACAATTACTTAAATATTTATTTTGGATACAATAAATGAATCTTCTTAAGGAATGTTTAGAGGGTTTTCGTGAAAGTATGGTTCTCTGTGGCTCCTTCTATAAAGACACTATCCAATCTAATTCAGATTATCTTACTTAACAAGGAAGGGACGTATCCATCAATTCAGTAATTATATTATGATTTTGTTCAATGAGCCAATCCTTTTTCTGTTAGTACAAAAAAGGTTAATATAATTAAAGTTTCTTAGAAATCTCTGTATTATATAATCAACCTTTTTAAAAAAATTATTTAAAATTAAGTTAAAAAAATTATAACCTGATAAATTAAAAACATAATGCAAAAATAATTACACAATCCAAACCTACGTGCGAAGGTCCAATTAGAATATTATTTATTTCGAATCATGGGAGAAGTAAGCCCATTTGACAGTTATATGGGCCTTGAATTAGTTTGAGACAGTTACAATATTGTTTGCGAACCAATATTCTTCACCATGGATTTAATATCCTTAAAGTGATATAGGTAGTCATATTATGAATAATCACCTATTAATCATAAATCCGTATAATAATAATACGCTAAATTACCAATTTGATATATTTAGTAGCATAACTATACCAATAAGACCTATTTACTGGCACAGGCGATGATAAGGACTACTTAGTGAGCCTCATATGGCGGTCAGGACCTACGCAGTCGCGGGAAATGAAGTTTGGGCCCAAATTTATAGTTTTTTTCGCTTATATGCCCCTCAAATCTCTCATATTTACACATTTACCTGCAAATTTAAATTTTTGCAAAAATAAAACTTCCATGTCTCCTCATCTCTTAACTAATAATTTGCATGAACCACTCCAAAATCTCCTCCAAAAATTTTTGCTTACTCTACCAATGAAATTCTTGACATCCTTCAACAAAACTCATTCTCAAATCTCATATGTTATCCATTACTTCACCATAACCCATTTCTTACACTTTACCCATCTTTTCCCAATTGCTACTTTATGAACCCAATTACTACTTATGGGTTCGTTCAATTTGCGGGAGTAATGAGCTATAGTGTTAGGATTATAATGAAGAATTTGTCATCAAGTATTCTTCATGAACCAACAGCCAATTATAATGACTCTAATTAGAGACATGTTAAATTTGAACATTGATTCGGGAAATGAGGTAGAAATTACTTTGTCCTTGTTGTTAGTTAAGAGATGAAGAGGTAGGGAAGTTTAATTTCAGCAAAAATCAAAATTTGTAGGTAAATGTGTAAATATGGGAGATTTTAAGGGTATATAATAAAAAAATTCTATAATTTGGGTCAAAACTTCACCTCCGGCCATCGAATAGGTCTTGATGGCAATATGAGGCTGATTAAATATACTTTATTATAGCTGGTACTACTAAATAGGTCTTATTGGTGTAGAGGTGCCACTACATATATGAAATTGGTAATTTAGCCAATAATAAAAATAATAATCCTTATTGAAATATTAGACCAGTCATGTTTCTTTTGGTAAGTGAATAAAAAAAATTCCATTACCAATGAGCAATAAGCGCATCCTCAACACAAAACTCCCTTCCTGGGCGTACCCAGAAATATGTACACAAAATAAAAAACTCTCACATTTTAACTAACAAAGAATCAAAACAATACTTCTTTTTTAATGTCCTTAATCATCACTATATATAGGAGTAGCTTCTTTATTTGCAAACGCCCATTGATATTCTCCTGAAGAATTCCTATCTTCATTAATCTCTCCTGAGTCAATAATCTCTTTCTCATAGCTGACCATTCTATAAACAGAATGCTTAGGTAAGTCGAAAGAATTCTACGCAAAAGCAGGCCAAGGGGCTGTGGTTGCTTTCGATCTCCATTCCAAAAATAATTTTCCTTCACTTTTTGGTGTTTCCTCTCACTTTGATGGGAAAGTATTTGTTGTGTTTGTTTCGTAAAAGAATATTGAGAATTTATAATTACTTTCCACTACTTTCATAAGTTTGATTCAATTTGAAAAGATAATAAAGTAATTGATGTGTGAATACATTCCCTAATCTTTTAGTGTTTGGCTCAAAATAAAAAAAGAAGAAACTATGGTTGTGATCACCATGGTGTACTTACTATTCAAATAACATAAAATTATTGCCAAACATAAGTGGGAGGAGAATGCCCACTATTTAAGGGACTATTCCAAAATAAAAACATTTGAGGGAGGAATTTTAAAATATTTAAAATTTTGAGGGACTAATTTTAAATTTAAGGTAATAATTAGCAAAATGTTTAAAGATTCAAGGACTAATTTCAACTAATTATTGATATTTATGGGAGTAATTCCAAACCTCTAAAGAATTGACAGACTAATTTTAAGTTTGATGAAGTAATTTGCAAAATTTTGAAGGATTTGAGGGAATAATTGTAAGTTTTTAATAATTGACTGACTAGTATCAATATTTGAGAGGTTGAGGGATTTTAATGAATATTATTTACCAAATTAGCATTAAATGAAGCAAGCGCTCTTGAGAGTTCATGGGACTGCTAGTCCTGTGAATTTTGCAGAAACTTCATAAGGGGACTGGTGTATTTGCCAGATGTCCACAGAAATTTACACACAAAATAAACGGGACTACTAGTCTCATTGATTTTGCAGGAACAAAATCTACGGGACTAGTAGTGCCGTCTATTTCCTTGAAAGATAAGAAAGGGTTGGAACTCATCAAATCTCAGAAATAAGATAAACTTATCGTAACAATTGTAAATATTAAAGCTTGCACACTGGAATGTTGTTAAAGCTATCTAGATAACACAAAAGATTTTATATACACATACATGCCTTATGTACATACAAAATTTCTAATGTGTTTGCCAAAATGGGGCTCAAAAGCAGACACCGAACAACTCCAAACCCAAAAACAACCACCCCCACCTCCCAACCATTCACTTGTCATTTCACTCTGTGGTATCCATCTCCATACCCTTCTCTTCATATTTCACATCAACCAGAAACCTAATGCTCACTTGCTCAGAAAAATAAATCAACTCAGTATCCCATAACCTAACCCTTTGAGTAAAGGAGAACACTATACCTAGCTTGGATCATAGGCAGCATATTCATTGTACTCGAGCGGGCTATCGCCGTGACCAAAAGAAACGAGCTTTTTGCAAGGCACTTTGACAACGTCCTTCCATGTGAAATGTATACACATCTCAACAAAAAAAACCAAAACGCCGCAACTAGCAATTGCATACACATCGCGACAATGCATATAATCTCCATACACCAAAATATCACAATAAATCCAAATATATAATATATTTTGGTTAACAAATTACCCAAATATATGATCTGAATAATGTCAGTACAAATAATCCATACATCGAGAACATACAACCTAGACATCATCTCAATCTCTCCTTTGTCTCGCTCTGGTTACCCGAGAAGTTCATCATCATCCTTCAGGGAGTTAAGTTTGCACGAGCTCGCTGTCCAGTTGCATGTGTGATTACGGGCCACTGCGAAGTTCTAGCTTCATCATCATTCCCACAAGATCCTCCTCAACTACTTATGAACATTTAAGGCAATAATTTCAAATATTTAAATATTTGAGAGAATAATTTAAGTTTTTATGAAGTAATCTGGAAAATTCCATAAGTGGTCAGAACTTCAATTCAACTCCCATATACAAATTGTTGATGGTCAATATCAAACAGAATAATCCAGAAGAGGATGGTTGCGGGGTGATGAAGGATAATGGAGGGCCCACTCCATTCTTCGACTTTATGTCTGGTTCTTGAACGAGGGCTTGATATCCACGTTGCACAGACAAGAAGAACCCGTGAGAGGGCAGAGACCAGTTTCCCCATGGTTCCTCCGACGGTCAAGTTAGTGAAACTCAAGTGGGAAAGGGGAAGGTCAAGAACCGATGTGGTTCTTAAGGTGGCAATGTGCATTAGAGATGATCCTCTCCCCTTTTTTGTCAGGAGGAGGAAGTCTTTACCTCTCTTTCTTTTCTTGGCCTTTTTTCCTCCCCCCCCCCCTCCTCTTTTTTTTGGTTGGGATCAGATAGGTCATCTATCTCCCAGCCTCAGGAAGCGGTGTTGGAATGCGGGCTAAGAGTCGAGTCACCCCTTGCTTTACAGGTATCGGCTGGCGACTGGAGGGGAAGTCACTTCATTATGAGAGAGTGTGTCTCCGTATTTTCTAGGAAACGATTGAGAGCGTGGCAGAAGACATGCTGACATGTTGAATCATCCATCGCCTTACATGTGTCGGTTGATGATTGGCGGGGAAGTCATTTTATTATAGGAGAGTGTGTCTCCGTATTTTCTAAGAAGTGATTGAGCTGACAAGTCATGGATGTTATGCTCTGATACCACCTGTTGTGCGCGGTGGAAGTCAAAACCAAACTGATGTGCTTCAAGAAACCAAAACAAACAAACAAACGCTGAGAGAAGGTCAAACAATGCAAAATAACGACACAAACTCAAACAACCAATTTTAACGTGGTTCGGCAAGTTGCCTACGTCCACGGGGCAAGAAAGAGGATGAGTTTTTCACTATAGAGAAGGAGAGTACAAATTGAAATTACAAATCGCTCACGCCAATCAACTAATCTCACTA